CCCCTGTGAAAGGGTCTCTGGATCCACAGGCTGAAAACCACTGCTCTGAAGGATCCTGCCTGTGGTGGCACAGGCCTAGAGAAGAGGGACAGGATCCAAAGCTACACAGAGAAACCCTGTTCCAAAAACAAAAACAAACCAAAGAGAATGAGAGCGGCTGGGGGAGGACAGTGGTGGCGCACACCTTTAATTCCAGCACTTATCTTCAAGGCAAGTTCCAGGACAGACAGAAACCCTGCCTCAAAGATAGATAGACAGACAGACAAATAGAGAGCGAGAAAAGAGTGGGAGGACTGGAGTGTGGCACACACCTTTAACCCGGGCACTCAGGGAGACAAAGGTGGATGAGTTAAAGGCCAGCCTGGTTTGGAGTTCCAGGATAGCCAAGGCCATACAGGCTACACAGAGAAACCCTGAGTGGGGGTTGGGCAGGGAGTGGGGGGAGATGTTGTGAGGACTGAACTGTTAAAAGGAAGATGAGTTAGATTACATTATAAGTGATCAAGAACAGGTCTCTTTACTAAAGATGGATCTGACCTTACACTTGCCATTGCTCGTAGACGCTTGAGAATAACAAATTCAGAGAACAGACCAAGGAAATAGTAGAGTAAAAGAAATCTCAGAAAGAAGGATAAAGCTGATTAAGAAAAGAACTCAAAGAATAGAAACTCTTATCTTTGTTTTTGATTTTTTTTTTTTTTCGAGACAGGGTTTCTCTGTGGCTTTGGAGCCTGTCCTGGAACTAGCTCTTGTAGACCAGGCTGGCCTCCAACTCCCAGAGATCCGCCTGCCTCTGCCTCCAGAGTGCTGGGATTAAAGGGTGCGCCACCACTGCCCGGCTGATTTTTTGTTCTTAAACAGGGTCTTGGCCATGTAGTTTTGACTGATACAGAACTTGCAATGTAGACCAAGGTAGCCTTGAACTTGTGTGGATACTTTTGCCTCTGTCTCACACATCATAGGCATGTGTTTCACAACCAGCAAATTTTTTTGAAGGGTCAAGGGAGCCAGGCTCTCTTGTAGCCAAAGATGACTTCAAACTTGGCTATGTAGTGGGGGCTTGCCTTGATCTCTGGATCCTTCTGCCCCTGCCTTCCCAATTCAGGTATACAATGTTGTACCTAATTTGAAAGGGTCCACTGGGTACTTGAACAATGAATAAGCTCCATACATATAACCTATGACTGTGACCTTTTATAAAAAATGTATGGTTTGGGGTTTATTGGCAAAGTCTCATATATCCCAAGCTGGACTTGAACTCCTGACTCTGGATACGATGACATTTTTTACAATCATTAATAACATAATCATGGAACTAATAACATAATCATAACAAATTATATTTTCAGACAGCAACATGCTATCACTGAATAAAACAGAACTCAGAATGGCATGAAATGACCAAGAAATATAAAGGCTGGTAAGATGGTTCAGTAGAAAAAGGGACCTATAGCCACACCTGAGTTTGATCCCATGGACCTACACAGTGGAAGGAAAGAACCAAGTTGTCCTCTGACCTCCACATGTGTGATATAGTGCACACAACTGTACAAACACAAAACCAAACGACACACACAGAGGGTCAGAGCGACAGCTCAGCAGTTAAAGCAATTGCTGCTCCTGTGAGTGCTGGAGGAGATGTCACTGCGCATGGGTTTTGAGGTTTCAAAAGCCCACACCAGGTCCAGTCTTGCTCCCTCTTTGCCTACATCTTAGAGAGATAGCTCAGTGGTTAAGAGCAATGGCCACTCTTTCAGAGGACCCAGGTTCAATACCCAGTATCCACATGGTTGCTCACAACTGTCTGTAACTCCAGTTCCAGGGTACCTGACAGTCATACAGGCAAAATGCCAATGCACGTACGTTTTTTTAAAAACTTAAAAAAAAAAAAAAAAAGAGCCGGGCAGTGGTGGCGCACGCCTTTAATCCCAGCACTCAGGAGGCAGAGGCAGGCGGATCTCTGTGAGTTCGAGACCAGCCTGGTCTACAGAGCTAGTTCCTGGACAGGCTCCAAAGCCACAGAGAAATCCTGTCTCGAAAAACCAAAAAAAAAAAAAAAGAAAAGAAAAAGGAAAAGATAAAAGCTCTCAACTACTGCTCAAGCGCCCTGCCTGCCTGCAGGTGTTCCCCACCATAATGGTCAGGGACTCGCCCTCAGAAACTGTAAGAAAGCCCCTAACTAAATGCTTGTCTAGTTTTGGGGGAAGGAGAATGCCCCCCAACATTGCTATTGAGATGTATTAGATTTATAAAGTGTGTAGAGGAAAGCAGCATCTTTGTGATGTTAGACATCCTGTCCATCAACATGTGCTTGATTTGGGTGTCATCTGGATGTGTGAGTGTTCACATTTTTTAAAATTTGTGGGTTTTGTTTGTTTTTTGGTTTTGGTTTTTTGAGACAGGGTTTCTTATTATTTGAGACATTTAGGCCCAGGCTGGTTCACTGTTATTTTGTAGAAACTACGGAGAGGCTGGGTCAGGGGTTCATTTCAGTGGAGTGCTTGCATGAGGGCCTTAGTGTGGGTTCCAGCACCCACAGGCATGGTGGCTCACTCAGATTGTTCCTGTCTCAGACCCTGAGAAGCTAGGGTATAGGCTTAGGAGGTATTTTTGTTGTTTTTGTTTTTTCATGTAAGGACTCATTCCTCTCTCAGGCATTTTCTGGGAATCTTAAATCAAACTATTAAACTTTTTACAAAAAAGCTACCCTAAGTTACTGCATTCTTGTGGCAAGTTTCACGTAATCTCTTGGAATCCTGTCAGGTGCCCCTCAATGAACACCCTGTGAGGTTCCTTAGCATCCTTCCCAGACAATAGAATGCAGCTCTCTCTGACAAGCCCACACACATGCTCTCAAAGTCCCGGGTGCCTTTTTTCCTCTTGTGATTTCTAAGTCGGAATTAAAATATCTTGAGGATAAGGATGTGTGGCTCAGTCGGAAAACTGCTTGCCTAGCACAAGAAGCCCTAGGTTCAAGCCCTAGCAACACATAAACTGCAGGTACACCCATGTAACTCCAGAGTTCAGGAGGCAGGCAGGAAGATCAGCCTCAGCTACCACACTGCCAGTTCAAAGCCAGCCTATGCTAAACAACACCGTCTCAGGAAATTTTTAAAAACACCCAACTCTGGAGCAAGCAAGGTGGCTCAAATAAAGGTACCTGCTTTGCTACCAAGCCTGAAATGCTGAGTTTCATTTTCTCTACCCACGTAGTGGAAGGAGAACTCCTTCCGTTATCCTGAGTTCCGCACGCACGATGTTGCACTTGAGCGTCCAAATAAAGGGAGGAAAGGGAAGGAAGACATGTAATTTAAATTATTTCAAAAATAAGAATATACAGACCAGCCTGGTCTCCAGAGCTAGTTCCAGGACAGGCTCCAAAGCCACAGAGAAACCCTGTCTCGAAAAAACAAAAACAAAAACAAAAAAAAAAGAATATAGGCCAGGTGGTAGTGGTGCCTGCCTTTAATCCCAGCACTAGGGAGGCAAAGGCAGGAGAACCAGAGTTCAAGGCCAGGCTGGTCTACAGGGCTAGAGAAACCCTGTCTCAAAAAAGCAAAACAAGAAACTCCCCCAAAGGAAAGCAGCTAGGATGTGAGCGTTAACTGCTACCACTTTTTGGTGGCACTGCGGACTGACTCGGTACCTTGTACATGCTAGGTAGGGGCTCTACCACTGGTGAATTTAGACTTACAAATTTTAATTAGGTACTCAATTGTTTTACTTTTACCTTTTAAAGAAAGGCCTATGCTGGTAATGTCTTCAACGACCGCAACAGCAGGCAGAAGTAGTTTTTTCCATATGAAATATAATTCACAGAGCTAGCCTCATGAAGGAGTTATGACTTCTATGATCAATAACAGCAACAACTACATTTTATCCAAAAAATGAGGAACTTGGGCCAATGAGATGGCTCAGAGGGTAAAAGGCGTTCGCTTCCAAGCCTGACAACCTGAATTCGACCCCAAAACTCACACCGTGGGAAGACAGAACGATCCCAAAATTGTTCTCAGATCTCCACACATAGGCATTAGGCAAGCATGTCCACGCAAAAAACACGTAAATAAAACAATCTGAAGTGAGGAACTGGGCCTAACCTAAACTTCAACTCTCTAATCCTGGGTTTTTAGTGGAATGACGCTCCTCAAAAGGAAATGCGAATTTGCCTGGCAGCTCTATTAAAGTACCTCAAAGTCAGAAATGAAGTCTGCAGCAGACACCACCGAAAGAAAAAAATCCCAAACTGTTTTTATAATTAAGCATGTCAGAATAATCTTCATTATTAATTGCGTTTTAGTATAAAAATCTTTTTTTAAACCTAAACATTTATATTAAGGTTTTATTACAAAATTCAACTTCCTGATTAGAAAACTCACTCTTAATAAATAGTGCTTTAAAATTATTCACTCCTTAGCTTCGTCTTCAAATAAAACGGATGCTCTTCGGGAAGATGGCCCCGATATAATGATCAGCACTTTCGACACAGGAACTACGGCGCAGACGTGATCTTCCAACCCCGGTCCCCACGCCGCCTCGTAAAGCACGGCCACCCATAATCCACACCCAGCGGCACATTCACCCGACAATCCCGAACAACGGGTCCAACTCTGCGGTCAGATTCGGTCGCAAACGTCCAAACGCTCGCGAGGCCCCCACCTCCTTCCCCCACGAAGGCCCGACGCTCTAAGCCCACCCCGACCCCCGCGCCGCGCCACCAAAGCTCGGAAGCCCTCCCCTCCAACCTCCCCGGCCCCACCGACCCAGGACGCCCAGATCCCACCTCCTACTTTGGCGCCACGTGGATCCAGAGGCCGCGCTGACCCGCGGACAAAGACCAAAATGTCCACTCGCTGCCCTGCGTCTGCGCACTCCGAGAGCGAGCGAGCACTCCCAGAAGTCTCCGCGACGCTCCGGGATTTGTTCACCGAAGCCCGGCCAGGTTGTCGTCTATTCTCGGCAACACGGCTTTTTCCGGCCTTGGACTACATTTCCCGCAAGGCATTGCGGCCGCCTCTTCTTGTGTTTTGGGGTTTCTTTGGGTAGATTGTCGTCATTTGGACCCAAAAAAGTTCACATCTGGTGGGATGTTCGGAGTGGGGGCTTTCTCTTTGATACTTCACGGACGCTATAGAAACAGACCTAGCCCAAACTCCAAGGTAAAAGGACAACATCTTGTCCGTGGCTGGTGGGGTTCTGGACTACGCTTCCCAGAGCCCTTAGCGAGCTGACTTTGTACCTCAACTTGGTGGACTCTTTAGCTTTGGCAGAACCGGACGCGCGCGCGCGCGTTCTAGAAGACCGTAGGTGAGGGGTCTGGGAGTCCTGGGCGGGGACCGGGAGTGTCGCGAGCCTCAGCGCTGTGTACTTGGGAGCAGTCCCGGGCTGCAGGATTCTAAGTGTCGCTTTGATTGTGGCAGCGTGTCCGGTTATGAATGCTTTTAAGTGTGCCGTTGAAATCACCTGTCTCCAAGGTGTATAGCTGATCGTTGCTGTGCAGACGTATTGTGATGCTGTGTGTTGTGGTGCCGGAATCTTGTGATTGTGGAAATAGCATCGCGTGGTCCTGTGGTGTGTTATGTGCCCTATAGCCTTAATTCCTGTGGGGTGTGAATATAGTTGTAACTATCACCGGTGTTTGTCTCTGTGGGTTAAGTGACCTTGAGTAGCAGTACTGTGTGTGTGTGTGTGTGTGTGTGTGTGTGTGTGTGTGTGTGTGTGTGTAGCAGTGTTCTGGGTCTGTGGTTCTGCATCAGCACTGCGTGGGCATCCTTACTGTGTCCTTTGGGGAGAAGGGAGAGGGAGAGGGAAGGACTCTGTGGCAGGGTGACTGCTGTGCATGCAGGTGTGGACTGTCTTTGCTAAAGACTGTCTCCAGAGTGACTGTTCGGTTATGGCTGGATGGTGTCGAGTACTGTGCTTTCTAAGTGCCACCATGTGTGATTGTGACTGTGTAGGGAGGGCCTTTGAGGACGTTAGTAATGGACGGGGAAGTGACTGTATCTCCGTGCTGAGAAATCTGGCCGTGGAGGGGATGGAGGTATCTAACTGTGACTGATTCCTTTTCTGTCTCGAGAATGGATGAATGAAGCTGAATGTTGTGATATATATACTCCTGTAATCCCAGCATTTCAGCTCCTGAGGCAGGAGGATCTCAAAATCAAGGCGGCCTGAGATACACTGTAGAACAAACCCTGTCTGGGGGCGGGAGGTGGAAGGTGGGTGCTGGAAAGATGCCTAAGTGGGTAAAGTTCTTAGGGCGAAGTATGCGAATGTGAGTTTGGGTCCCCAAAACCCAAATCAACATCAGTTGCTGTAGTGTGTCTGCAATTCTCCTTAATCCCAGCTCCTACAGGATTCCAGGACAGGTCTCCCAAAGCTTTCAGATAAACTGGCCTGGAGTGAGTAGCAGTGTTAGACCACAAGTTGGAAGGCTCGAACCAACAGCCAGGACTCTACTCTGCCCTCCACATAACTGGCATGGCACACGTGTGCCTGTATATGTGCACACACACAAAGATAAAAAAAAAATTCTGAAAAGTGATGAGTTGACATGCTGTTTGTCGTATTGGTGTGACATTTCTTGCCGCAGCCAAGTGTGTCAGTGGGTGTGTCTATCTCTGACTGCTGCTCCAGCCCCAACAGACCCTGTGAAGTTTGGGCACATTCTGGCCTTGGACAGTAGTGACCTCAGTTTTACCGTGTGACACTGAGCTTGGTCTGAATGCCAGTCTTTTCTGACCTCCATCCCCTGTACAGAACAGCTGTCCAAAACTGCCCTGGCAAGTCATCCCTTTCTTCTGACCCTCTTCTCAGAAGGCGACAGAGAGCTGAGCCTAAAGCTGAGTGGCTAGCTATTGAACACCCAGAAGCCAAGCTGAGAGTGCATCAGGCTTCGTTCTCCTTTCCCCGAAACTCTTGCTTCTCTGAGCGTGCTTTCTCAACAGAATCCCCTCACCACCCCCAGAATGATCTGACACCATTGATTCTGAGAGCACAAGCTGAGAGGCCTGCAGATGAGCTGAAGGTCCCGTATCCTCCTCTTTGCTTCCCTAATGCGGGTTAAATTGTTTTCCCTAAAGTTTTGAAGTTGTTTTAGACTTGAAAATGTTACAAAGATAGAATTCCACATGTTCTTTTTTTTTTTTTTTTTTTTTTTTTTTTTTTTTTTTTTTTTGCCGGGTGATGGCGGCACACTCCTTTAATCCCAGCACTCGGGAGGCAGAGGCAGGCGGATCTCTGGGAGTTCATGACCACCATGGTTACAAAGTGAGTTCCGGGACTGGCTCAATAGCTACTGAGAAACCTGTCTCAAAAAACCAACAAAAACAACAAAAGAATTCCATATGATATGTTCTCTTTTTTTAGTTTTTAGATTTTATATGTACAAGTGTTTGCCTACATGTGTGTAAATGCACCATTTGCCTGGTACCAAGGTCCCCTTTTCCTAGGTGACTCTAGTTTGGGTCAGGTTGATGTGGTGTGTACACAACATAATACATGCAGGTGCCAAGGAGGCCAGAAAAGCACACCAGCTGCCTGGCAGGGGCACTAGGAACTGAGCCCAGGTCCTTCACAAGAACAGCAAATGCTTTTCACAGCACCGTGTTTAAAACTGGGTGAGTGACATTGGTATACTAGTACAAACTACTTCCAAACCTTATTCATCTTTCTTTAAGTTTTTTAAAAAGATTTTATTTATTTATTTTTTTAAATATTTATTTATTATATATACAATATTCTGTCTGTGTGTATGTTTACAGGCCAGAAGAGGGCACCAGACCCCATTACAGATGGTTGTGAGCCACCATGTGGTTGCTGGGACTTGAACTCAGGACCTCTGGAAGAGCAGACAATGCTCCTAACCTCTGAGCCATCTCTCCAGCCCCAAGATTTTATTTATTTATTTATTATGTATACAGTATTCTCAGTATTCTGTCTGAACGTATGCCTGCAGGCCAGAAGAGGGCACCAGATCTCATTACAGATGGTTGTGAGCCACCATGTGGTTGCTGGAAATTGAACTCAGGACCTTTGGAAGAGCAGGCAGTGCTCTTAACCAATGAGCCATCTCTCCAGCCCAAACCTTATTCATCTTTCACCAATGTCCTGATTTCTTTTTTCTTTTTACAATTAATTTTTGGGGCTCCGTGTGTTTGTGTCCCATGGCACTGGAGTCTGCTGCAAACTGACCTGCAGTTTCATCAATAGCCTCTCCTGGGCGCTCTTCCTGGCTCCACCTCTCAGCTATCTATGTGACCTCTTCAGTGCTGGGCTCCAGCTGCTCCTGAGGCTGCATGTTCACTAATGGTCTCTCCTGGCCTCTTCCAGTGCCAAACCCCAGCCACTCTCCATGATCTTTTCATGCCTTCAGAACAAGTATCACTGGGGAGACTCTTACCCATGCCAGCCTGTGGTTCAACCTTGGGCGCCTCTGGAACACAGCTTCTGTGTGCTCACCCTGAGGAAACACTTCCCCGAAGGTTTCATCTCAGTGCTGCTGGTCTCTCCTTAATCCCCGCCAGTGTCTCAGCAGCTGCTGACCACGTCAGTTGTCCCAGGAAAACAAAGGTTTCACTTCAGTGGTTCTAGTCTCTTGTCCTCTTGTTGATCACGGCTGATTCAGTTCAAGATAGTGTCTTTATGTTTCCCAAGCCAGGCCTTCAGTGATCAGGAAAAAGAATTTTTAAAAAGACCACAGCCCGGTGGTCCAAAAAGGTCATAAAAATTTCAAAAACCTACGGAGGCTCCCTGCCTCTCGGGACCACTCCCAGGGTCATAATCAGCTAGTTCCTAAAACAGTACTGTGATAATTGCAGCTGGAAAACTAGTTTTTCAAGATTGTAGTCTTGAGTTAGTTCCTGGTGCAGAGTTGCTGAACAGGCTAATCCTAGATATTTGATTCTCCTCTTCCTGCTGGGAGAGCTGGAGAGGTGGCTCAGCGGTTAAGAGCATTGCCTGCTCTTCCGAAGGTCCTGAGTTCAATTCCCGGCAACCATGTGGTAGCTCACAACCATCTGGAATGAGGTCTGGTGCCCTCACAGGATTTTTGATTTTTCTCTTCCTGCTGGGAGAGTTTGGATTTGTCCAGGTTTTTCAATGCTGTGTGTGATCTAGGGGTGGCTGTGACAGTATGCACTTCCAACACGGATCATGCCGCTGCCACCACAGGCTGCAGCTCACTTCCAGCAAGTTTTTCCCTACCCACATTTTCTTAAGCATAGGTTAACAATAATTTTTAATCTTGGTCATTTTTACAAGGATAAGGTAAAATCTCAGAGTTTTGATTTACATTTCTCTGACAGTTAAAGGATGTTATATTCAAACATTTTAGGTGTCTCTCAGTCATTTTTGGGTTCG